CAGTTTGTGTGTATTAAAATTAATATTTCATGTGTTAAATTTTTTTTTTTCAATACTTTTGGGTGTCTTGCACGGATTAATTTGATTTCCATTATTTCTTATGGGGAAAATTAACTTGACTAACGATGAGCTCTCAGGAACGGATTAATAGCGTTAGTCGAGGGTCCACTGTATTTCCTTGCACCTGCTGTCCCTGTTCACCTACCACTAGTCGACTGGTGTGGGAGGTATCCTGGGGGAAGAGACTGAAAAACCTCAGTAGAAATAAGACATGACTCACGAAATCGTAGTGACACGATTGCAAACAAGCCATACCACGGGCGGGGATAGAACCCGCGGGTTCTATCCCCGCCCGTGGTATGGTTAGAAATAAGAAAGTTCTCGATGACACTGGCTTTCTTGGGTGGCTAACCCTTCCCCGGGTTAATAATCTCAAATCTTATCCAACTCATAACAGTGGACACTTGGCAGCAAGAGCTGCCTATGCTTAGAGAGAAAACTTTGCAGCAGGAGACTTTTGTAAAGCTAGCGGCAGCAAAATCATGGTAATAAAATAGTCTCATACGTCTGGCGGCAGAGGTACGACAGAAATCATTGTTAATTTATTCGGAAGCCTAGGTACGGCAGCAGTGAGAGCATCGAACACCAGGCAGAGGAACCCTGACAGCAGGTGACTCGTATGTTGATGGTTCATATGTGTCTGACCTTTTACTGTTACAAAATGGCATTACCTGAGTCACTATGCACATAGCTGAAAGGTGAACCTTGAGAAACCTGTGGAAGAGAGCGCTTGTTACAACTCCGCCATGCTATGTGGATCTCAAATGAACGACACTCGTTAATAATTATTTAACCAGTTCTCATTCTGCTGCGTTAATATTCTTACGAGGATTAGATATCAGTCTGTTAACGCTTCTCTTAATCATACAAATACGATTATTTAAATTTTTAAAGTGAGGTTATGTTAGGATGTTACCTGCCATCCAGTTATAACACGGAATGTCCGAGCTGCAGTTGTTGAATTTCTACCCTTTCTAATATGGAACCAGAATTTAATACTCTCAGTTCTGTTAAGTTAACGTTTATTAACCTATATTTGTGAATGCCTTACGTCTGCCAGTGCCGAACAAGTGGTTCCACATACAGCGTGGTTGTTCTCACAAACACTGAACTAACAGCCGCTGTAACAAAGGGGCAGATCTTAATTAACCAGGAAACGTTCAGATCTGCACGTGGTACCAGAATGGATTGTTATGGAGGTATCAGATGAATAACCTACTTCATCAGCGTCAAGTTACCCTCTGTGAAGAGTACTTCCCTCAATGGAGGTTCCTTGACGCTGGTGAGGGGCTCTTGATCTAGGGAATTGGATCTGTGCTCGTTTCCTGAACTGAGCCTGAATACCTTTCATTCCCCCCCCCCTCCCACATGCGCTGTATAATCCTACGGGTTTAGCGCTTCCCTGTGATTATAATGTGAAGGGTACTGCAGAGGAGAGCTGTTTAAAGAATGTTGGTAGAATGGTGGTGTTTTGTTGGTCAGGAAACAGGACAGTGTCTACAGCCAGGCTATCACCTCACTTAAAAACAAAGAATAACTACGGAGTCATGGGAGGTGGGAACCAGAGCGGCACTTAGCACCGGTTCTGGTTTCTCATAATAATGCTAACATTCCAGTAGCTTGGTTAGGGGGTTATAACTACTACAGGTCTGATAAATTAGACACATGTGCAACTCTTAGGTATCTTTATTGAGGAAACGTTTCGCCACAGTGGCTTCATCAGTCCATACGTAGGAGAAACTTGAAGAACAGGAGGAGAATGAGGTAATCAGTCCCTCAACCTTGAGTCGATGTGTTCAGTCCATCAAACTTGAATAGAATACGGCATATCAGCGGAGAAGCAGCTTATAAACCGTATGGCAGAAGAGGTGCAGCAGACATAGGTCGTGTCACATTTGTTCAATGTGGAAGTAGGTCGTGCCCAAGAATTAGGCAAGCGAAGAATTCCTAAGTATTAAGATCCCAAGAAGTTGCAGTGTCTGACAGATTTGTAGATGAATGGTTCAGAGAACCGACATGTTGATAAATTAGACACATGTGCAACACTTGGGTATCTTTATTGAGGAAACGTTTCGCGCCACAGTGGCTTCATCAGTCCATACGTAGGAGAAACTTGAAGAACAGGAGGAGAATGAGGTAATCAGTCCCTCAACCTTGAGTCGATGTGTTCAGTCCATCAATCTTGAATAGAATACGGCATATCAGCGGAGAAGCAACTTATAAACCGTATGGCAGGAGAGGTGCAGCAGACATAGGTCGTGTCACATTTGTTCAATGTGACACGACACACAATGTGTGGCGAAACGTTTCCTCAATAAAGATACCCAAGAGTTGCACATGTGTCTAATTTATCAATATGTCGGTTCTCTGAACCATTCATCTACAAATCTGTCAGACACTGCAACTTCTTGGGATCTTAATACTTAGGAATTCTTCGCTT